TAGTCAAGATCCAGACTCCAGAGAAAATAATTTAAAAAAAACAATAATAAGTAAATAAAAGATTTTGGGGTCCATTCAAGAGCATTTGCCAATCTGGATTAGCCCACAGTCCGCCTGTTGACTACCCCAGGATTAGATGACCGGCTGTACTTAAAAATCTATTTGGAATACCCTTCCCTTCTCATCTTTGCTGTCAGTTGTGGCCCTAAGTTTATTTTATATATTTCTATATATTTATTTATATATATAGTCTAGAAGAACTAGTTCTGGTTTAAAAGCTAGAGCGAGACCATTCAGAAACTGAAACTACTAATATGGCAACTGACTTATTAAGTGGAGGTTTCAGAGTAACAGCCGTGTTAGTCTGTATTCGCAAAAAGAAAAGGAGTACTTGTGGCACCTTAGAGACTAACCAATTTATTTGAGCACCTTAGAGACTAACCAATTTATTTGATGCATCCGATGAAGTGAGCTGTAGCTCACGAAAGCTCATGCTCAAATAAATTGGTTAGTCTCTAAGGTGCCACAAGTACTCCTTTTCTTTTTATTAAGTGGAGTTTCATGACAGAAGCGTTCTCTGGGATCTACAGTGGCTTCCAATAGGTTTTCAAGTGGAATTCTAGCAGCCTAAATCAAGATGCAAGACAAGTGACTGTAGCCATTTACAACAGTGCAAAGTAGGTGTCAAATGCTGTCATTCTGACTTGATAGCATTGCACACTCACTTTACAAATGGTGCAAGTGACTACACAAGCACTGGAGTAACTGAAAATCAGGCGCAAAGTGTTATTAACTTTGCAACTAAATGAGTTGGGACTTGGAGTTTGTCTTCACATACGCTGGTGCAGCTTCGCCGCTGCACTTCTTTAGTGAAGACACAACTACGCCCATGGGAGAGCTTCTCCTGTCAGAACAGTTAATCTGCCTCTGCGAGAGGTGGTGGCTATGTCTACACCACAGACATAGCGCTGTCTACACCAGGGGCTAGCTCAGTATAATTATGTCAATCAAGGGTGCGGATTTTTCACACCCCAAGTGACATAGTTATACCGATATAAGTGTGTAGTGTAGATTTGGTTACTTGTGAGAATCTCTCTCTCCATGAGCCAAAGTTCCACAGCAGAGACTCTTCAGCTGGGGCTCCCACACTACAAATGTAGAGCAGCTTTCTGAGTGGGTTCTTCAACTGTGGAACTTGCTCCTCCCTCATTTGGTCAGAGCCTGGATGTCAGCTTTTTGGTTATGCTGTGAAACACATTGTTTTCTCTCCGGCCCTCTCCCTCCCAGGTGTTTGACATGAGGTGGGCTGAATGGTTTTGGGTTTACTAATGTGGATGTGCATGTGTGTCAAGGTGAGATGCAGTCTTGTATATTGTGCTATGTATTTTTTAATTTAAGTAATGGGTACCCAAAGCATAGGATGGATATCTATAAAGTCTTTTATAAATCTAAATAAAATATTCATCCTGTGAAACAGCGGTTTATATTAACTCTCCCACACTAAAAATAGTAATAATTTATACTTATAGTGTCTTCCACCAAATGATTTCAAAGCACTCTACAAAAGTTATTTGCATTATTTGCCCCCTTTGCAAATGGAGAAATTGAGATACACAGGTTATATACCCAGGGCATGCAGAAAGGAGCAGTATTTGGACTAGTAATTAGGTCTCCTGACCGCACATTCCCAGAAAAGTTAACTTTTTGTTTACTGTCTTTATAACAGAGCTTAAATTCTAACTGAATAGTTTTAAAAAAACCCAGAATATCATGAGGCAAATTCTCCCCTAATATATGTGCACAGGGCTCCCTTAGAAGTCAAGGAGAGCCAAAGACATTCAGGATCAAAACTGACTCCACTATCTGAAGTGAGATGTTTGTCCCAATACAGTATTTGTATAGAAGGATAATTCCACATTCCTTAAATTGTAGTATGGCTGCTTTAGTCAATGCAAATGTTTTGAGTGGTGGTTGCAATAGTTGGCCCCCAGAGGGGTTTTTTTAAGGAAAACATAAAGCTCCCATGTCGAAACATGAAATTTCACTCTGCATAGATGCTACAGAATGTGTCAAAACACAGTTAGCTACTTCACATCCACAGTTATAAGACTCTCTTACAACACATTTACCATGGCAAAATATAAACTGGCAGGAACTAGGTATAGATGAACATCAAAAAAAATGCTGTAGCCTTATTGTTCATAAAGTCAGTAGAAGTTGTATTGGGCCCAAACATATCAGCCCATCCTCGGGCTTTTGTAAAAAGCAAAGAAGAAAGACAAGTGGAAAAACCTGGCTTGAGGCTGGATTTGCATTCCACTGAGGGCAGAGGTTGAGGCTTGTGGATAAAAACATTTGGAGAAGAAAAAAAATCTTTTGGAGGCAGATGCATGTGCAGTAAATTGCTTTCCTGTTACTCAATGCAGTTTTCCGTGCCTCAGAAGGCACTTGTGATTACACAGAAAGTGGTACTGCTTCCTGGAAAAGGAAGGAGGCTGGATATGTCCCTAGCTGCACAACACTTAATGGTGCTCCAGGACCCTGGTAAGGGTATATCACATATAACATGAAGATATCTCACACTGTGTCCCCCATACCTCTTAACTGCCCCCAAGTTTTGAAGCACATCATTTGTTTTAGCCCTAATGTTACCCATGTTCTACACCAGTGGTTCTCCACCAGGTACGCAGAGATCTTCCAGGGAGTACATCAACTCATCTAGATATTGCTTAGTTTTACAACAGGCTATACATAAAAAACACCAGCCAAGTCAGTACAAACTAAAATTTCATATGACTTGTTTATACTGCTCTATATACTACACTGAAATGTAAGTACAGTATTTATATTCCAATTGTTTTATTTTATAATTATATGGTAAAATTAGAAAGTAATCCATTTTTCAGTAATAATGTGCTATGACACTTGTATTTTTATGTCTGATTTTGTAAGCAAGTAGCTTTTTAAGTGAGGTGAAACTTGGGGGTACACAAGTCAAATCAGACTCCTGAAAGGGTTACAGTAGTCTGCAAAGATTGAGAACCACTGTTCTACACCAATGTATAGCGTCCCTTACTTTTTAATGTTGAAAAATATTTACATAAGAAATATGAAATCATTAACTGAAGGTACAGAAAGTTATTTACATGGAAGGAAGGAATCACCCAGTATTCTAAATTTCCTGCATGAATAATTCTTGTCTTTGTCATACACTGCATCCCCCATTTGGACCTTTGTAAGTTTCGAGGAATGTCACTTTGTCCAATCCTTTGTATTTCTTTATTCTGATAGTGGGCATATGTTGTTCTTCTCCTCTGCACCCCCTGCCCCTCACTCTGAAACTTGATCTGATTGTGCAGCTCTTTACTCATTTCAAGACTGACAAGAAGGAAATGCCTGTGCATGTAAAAATCAAAATCACCACCCCTTACACACACCTTGCAGTCCCTTCCCACTTCTCACTTCATTCAACAAGGGAGAATCTACTTTCCCAGAATACTTTGCAGAAGAAAAAACATTTTGTACATCATTGTTTTCAGTCCAGTTCAATACACAATACTTTACAAATGGCAGCAGCAGCTTCCTCTTTAGCCAAGAAGGTGGCAATAGAGAAGGGGGTGGAGCAAATAAAGTCTCAGGGAGAGCAATAACAAACAGAATTATCACATGTGTTTCCTTTAAACCGGGGAGGATAACAGGTTGCTGACACTAGAGCATCTTTTCCCTCCTGCACTCAGAGTAAGTTGCTAACTATGTAGCAATAAACATGCTGTCACTCATATGCATCTCACAAGGCCCCAAGGGTACGCCTACAGTGCAATAAAACACTTGTGGCTGGCTGTGTCGACTGATGGACTCAGGCTGCAGGACTATAAAATTGCAGTGTAGTTGCTCAAACTGGAACCCTGATGGGGTTGAGAGCCTGGGCTCCAGCTCAAGTCCAGATGTATACAGTGCAATTTTATAGCCCCGTAGCCCAAGACTCACGAGCCTGAGTCAACCGACAGGGCCATGCCCTGGGTGTTTTATTGCAGTGTAGACAAACCCTAAAGCCTATATGTCTACACTGCAATGTAAGCACCAGGTTTGAACTCAGGCTCAAGCGTAACCCCTCTTTCGTCCACACACAAATAATGCTGACCCAGAGTCTAGGGTTGCCAACCCTCCAGGATTGTCCCAGAGTCTCTAAGAATTAAAGGTAAAGTCATGCGATGAAACCTCCAGGAATTCATCCAACTGAAGTTGACAACCCTACCAGGATCCCAGGAGTTCATGGAGGAGTGAGGGGAGGCAAGCCGGGACACTTCAAGCCTTATTGCTTTGTACTGTAGATGCAGCCCTATTGGACTCACCAAAAGTATCCCATAGCTCATCATTCTTTGTCCTTGGGGCAGTCAAGTGTTCCCACACCGCCATAATGAACAAAGGACTAGAGCAGCCCCATTTTGGGAGAGCGCTAGGAAGCCTGGGATAGGGATGGGTTAACTCAGGCCCCCATAATGCAGTGCAGATGTTGGCGCTGCGGGTTGGGACCAAGGATTCAACAAGTCCTAACCTGGGGTTACAAATGAGTGTAGACACTCAAGCCCCAGGCTAACAAACCCAGGGTCTGCTAAGTCCAGTTCTACTAACCCTGGCCTGGCACTACAGCTTAGACATAAGACTCCCAAATCCCTATGCGGCTCCCAGTCTTGCCGCCTGACCATTTAGCCTGTAAACTCCTTGGGAAAGGCAGGGAGAGTGTCCTGGATACCCGGTAACAACACATGGGGGAGCGGGGAGCAGGGGCGAGGAAATCTCTTTGCCCCCGCGTGCATGGGGAGCAGGGGCAAGGGCTCCCCAGCTCCAGCAACGTGGGAGAGTCTCACACTCTGCCCCCAGCCCAGGCAGCCCCTCCAGGGGAGCGGGAGGGCAGCGCCCCCGCTCGGCTGACCTGGCGCTGGCCCGCGAACACCCACCTCACCCAGCCCCCAGGCTCCCCAGCAGCGGCCGCCACTCACCCGCAACTCTCGCTCATCTCCCGGCTCGGCTGGGGCCGCGCCGCCGCCGCCGCCTCCCCTGCCCTGCCCTGGGCTAGCGCGCGATGCAAATCCGGGGGAAGGCTGCGGCGGGGAGCTCAGCTGCGGGAGGGCGGGCGCCGAGACGGCGGCGGCGGGCGGGGGACTTGCCCAGGCACGGTGGGCGGGCGCCCCTGCGTTGTATGGCCGCTCGGCCGGCCGGCCCTGCCCCCGCCTCCTGCTATCTGCCCGGGCGGAGCAGCCCGCGCTCTGCGCGCAGGACAAGCCGCGGGGCTGGTTTGGGGGCGAGGTGGGTGGCGAAGCAGCCGGGGGGTGACTCGGTTCTGCCTCCCCGCGGTGTAACTGCGGAGTCACTTCCTGGCGGAGCCGGAGTGAGTGAGTGCGGGCGGACGCTGGCCGGCCCCGGGAGAGGGACCCGCCTGGAGCACAGCGCTACAAAGCCCCATGGTGCTTCTCCAAACCGACACATGCTTAGCTTTGGGCCAGTGAGCAGCCCCGCTGAAGTCCTGGTGCACAGCTGGGTAGGTGTTGGCAGGATCGGGGCCTCAGACTATTGACACAAGGGTGGTTACTGGTCTCCAGCTCTAGCTGGCCCCAGCCCTAGTTCTTCAGTGCCTCTTGTTTGAACTCCAAAATTACCCATGTGGTTTCACCAACTTCAACATTATGAGATTGGCTTTGATTTTGAAAGAATCATTAGATTTAAGAAATAACTATAGGATTCTTTTCCATTTGACTTTTGATATTGGAGGTTTTTCCACCTTTTCTCTGCAGGCTAGAAACTGACTTTATTTGGAAAGGACATCTGAGAGACCTAGCTCCAGCAAGAACTTTAAGAAAACCTCCAAAATCACTAGACATGATAAAATTGCCGGAATTGGTGATGTAGCCTATATTCACCACAAACACTCTTATTGCAGAAAATGATTTAACAATTCAAAATCATGAAAATGGGATTATAGAAGGGGTTCTTTGCACTGAAGGAAGGAATCACACAACATTTTAAGTTTCCTTAATCATTTTTGTGTCCCTTATTTTGGGTCTTTGTCATACATTATGGCCCAGCTTTGGGCCTTGGCTGGTTAAGAGTTATTATTACAATATTAACCTTGATCTATATAAAATCTTCAAATTCTATATACATAAACAGGGCTTCAGGCAGTTATAGGTATTTTAAGCACTGTATTCATAAAAGAATCATAGAAGATTAGGGTTGGAAGAGACCTCAGGAAGTCATCTAGTCCAACCCCCTGCTCAAAGCAGGACCAACACCACCTAGGGTGTTGTCTACCCCTGCTTGAAACAGATCTACATTATACCATGATTAAAATGGTGGTACCTGGTCTACTAATGCTCCCACACATTTAAACAAGTTCTTTGTGGTTCTCTGTAACCTGTTGCGCTCTGTACCTTTCAAAACTACCATACTAATATGAAATGTTTAAAATGCAAATAATTTTAATTCCCAATATGGGATCCAATAATGCTTCCCACTGAGCCACATTTTGCCATCAGTTGATTTTTAATGGTAAATTTTGTCTGAGTAGGGATTGCAGGATCAAATTAAGTCCCATTGCAGCAATTTCTTTACACTTCTCTCTCTCTCATACAATTTCAGCCCCATGCTTACATCTACATTTTCTGTCAGTGAGGGTGGGAGAAACCACCATGCCACAATATTGAAAAAACAAATATTTTAACCACTTAAACCTTGAGAGATTTTCATTTATGATTGCCAATTGCATATTATCCTATAGTAGGCAGCTGTAAAAAGCAACATGATTATTTTCAAACCATTTTCCTATCCAAAATATTCTGAATTATTTTCAGCTCAAATGATCAATTTAATCTTTGTCTCAGGAAGATCTTTAGTGGCACAATCCTGCAGTGTTTTGGGTAAGCAAAGCTCCCACTGAGATTTAAGTTATTTACTCTAGTTTCAAAACAAGACTACAAGAAACTCATTGTAGTATTTCTCAAATTCTTATTTCTAAAATCCATCTTTTCATGTGAGACTTAGCTATTTCTATTAATCTTATGCCAGTGTGTCTTTTTATGTGTTCAAGGTGATGGACTGCGAATCTAGGAAAAGTTTAAAACTACTTAAAACTCCATTTTTAATTTCTCATAGTTTGCCTTACCATTTATACAGCTTACCAAGATATTTATATTTTAATGTTTAGTTCCTCAACAGTTGTCACCTGCTGTAATTGAAACTTCTGATAAGAGCATACGAATGGCCATACTGGGTCAGACCAAAGTTCCATCCAGCCTAGTATCCTGTCTACCAACAGTGGTCAATGCCAGGTGCCCCAGAGATAATGATCTAGTGATCTCTCTCCTGCCATCCATCTCCACCCTCTGACAAACAGAGGCTAGGGACACCATTCCTTACCCATCCTTGCTAATAGCCATTAATGGACTTAACCTCCATGAATTTATCCAGTTCTCTCTTAAACCCTGTTATAGTCCTAGCCTTCACAATCACCTCAGGCAAAGATATCCACAGGTTGACTGCGCGCTGAGTGAAGAAGAACTATCTTTTATTTGTTTTAAACCTGCTACCCATTAATTTAATTTGGTGGCCCATAGTTCTTATATTATGGGAACAAGTAAATAACTTTTCCTTATTCACTTTCTCCACACCACTCATGATTTCATATACCTCTATCATATCCCCCCTTAGTCTCCTCTTTTCCAAGCTGAAAAGTCCTAGCCTCTTTAATCTCTCCTCATATGGGACCCATTCCAAACCCCCTAATCATTTTAGTTGCCCTTTTCTGAACCTTTTCTAAAGCCAGTATATCTTTTTTGAGATGAGGGGCCACATTTGTATGCAGTATTCAAGATGTGGGTGTACCATGGATTTATATAAGTGCAATGAGATATTCTCCGTCTTATTCTCTATCCCTTTTTTAATGATTCCTGACATCCTGTTTGTTTTTTGACTGCCACTGCACACTGCTTGGATGTCTTCAGAGAACTATCCACAATCACTCCAAGATCTTTCTCCTGATTAGTTGTAGCTAAATTAGCCCCCATCATATTGTATGTATAGTTGGGGTTATTTTTTCCAATGTGCATGACTTTACATTTGTCCCCATTAAATTTCATTTGCCATTTTGTTGCCCAGTCACTTAGTTTTGTGAGATCTTTTTGAAGTTCTTCACAGTCTGCTTTGGTCTTAACTATCTTGAGCAGTTTAGTATCATCTGCAAACTTTGCCACCTCACTGTTTACCCCTTTCTCCAGATCATTTATGAATAAATTGAATAGGATTGGTCCTAGGACTGACCCTTGGGGAACACCACTAGGCACCCCTCTCCATTCTGAAAATTTACCATTTATTCCTACCCTTTGTTCCCTATCTTTTAACCAGTGCTCAATCCATAAAAGGCTCTTCCCTCTTATCCCATGACAACTTAATTTACATAAGAGCCTTTGGTGAGGGACCTTGTCAAAGGCTTTCTGTAAATCTAAGTACACTATGTCCACTGGATCCCCCTTGTCCACATGTTTGTTGACCCCCTCAAAGAACTCTAATAGATTAGTAAGACATGATCTCCCTTTACAGAAACCATGTTGACTTTTGCCCAACAATTTACGTTCTTCTATGTGTCTGACAATTTTATTCTTTACTATTGTTTCAACTATTTTGCCCAGTACTGACGTTAGACTTACCGGTCTGTAATTGCCAGGATCACCTCTAGAGCCCTTCTTAAATATTGGCGTTACATTAGCTATCTTCCAGTCATTGGGTATAGTATCTGATTTAAAGGACAGATTACAAATCACAGTTAATAGTTCCGCAATTTCACATTTGAGTTCTTTCAGAACTCTTGGGTGAATGTCATCTTGTCCCGGTGACTTGTTACTGTTAAGTTTCTCAATTAATTCCAAAACCTCCTCGAGTGACACTTCAAATTGTGACAATTCCTCAGATCTTTCACCTACAAAAGACGGCTCAGGTTTGGGAATCTCCCTAACGTCCTCAGCCGTGAACATTGAAGCGAAGAATTCATTTAGTTTCTCTGCGATTACTTTATTGTCTTTAAGTGCTCCTTTTGTATCTCGATCGTCCAGGGGCCCCACTGGTTGTTTAGCAGGCTTTCTGCTTCTGATGTACTTAAAAAACATTTTATTATTATCTTTTGAATTTTTGGCTAACTGTTCTTCAAACTCCCTTTTGGCTTTTCTTATTACATTTTTACATTTAATTTGGCAGTGTTTATGCTCCTTTCTATTTACCTCACTAGAATTTGACTTCCACTTTTTAAAAGATGCCTTTTTATCTCTGTCAAGGTTCCTCCCCCACTCTGAACTCTAGGGTACAGATGTGGGGACCTGCATGAAAAACCTCCTAAGATTATCTTTACCAGCTTAGGTCAAAACTTCCCCAAGGTACAAAATATTACACCCGTTGTCCTTGGACTGGCCGCTACCACCACCAAACTAATACTGGTTACTGGGGAAGAGCTGTTTGGACGCATCCTTCCCCCCAAAATACTTCCCAAAACCTTGCACCCCACTTCCTGGACAAGGTTTGGTAAAAAGCCTCACCAATTTGCCTAGGTGACTACAGACCCAGACCCTTGGATCTTGAGAACAATGAACAATCCTCCCAACACTTGCACCCCCCCTTTCCTGGGAAATGTTGGATAAAAAAGCCTCACAATTTGCATAGGTGACCACAGACCCAAACCCTTGGATCTGAGAACAATGAAAAAGCATTCAGTTTTTTACAAGACTTTTAATAAAAATAGAAGTAAATAGAAATAAAGAAATCCCCCCTGTAAAATCAGGATGGTAGATATCTTACAGGGTAATTAGATTCAAAAACATAGAGAACCCCTCTAGGCAAAACCTTAAGTTACAAAAAAGATACATAGACAGAAATAGTTATTCTATTCAGCACAATTCTTTTCTCAGCCATTTAAAGAAATCATAATCTAACACATACCTAGCTAGATTACTTACTAAAAGTTCTAAGACTCCATTCCTGTTCTGTCCCTGGCAAGAGCAGCATACAGACAGACCCAGACCCTTTGTTTCTCTCCCTCCTCCCAGCTTTTGAAAGTATCTTGTCTCCTCATTGGTCATTTTGGTCAGGTGCCAGCGAGGTTACCTTTAGCTTCTTAACCCTTTACAGGTGAGAGGAGCTTTCCCCTGGCCAGGAGGGATTTCAAAGGGGTTTACCCTTCCCTTTATATTTATGACAATCTCTCACTGCTTCTTTTCCATGGTTGTTAAGCCACGGTGGCTCTTTTTTAGTTCTTTTACTG